ACATGCAACTATCAAATTTAAATTAAAATGTAAACTATAACGTAAATTTTAGCAGCACATCTATAGAAGTTTACTCTGATGCTGGTATCGGACCCGATATCGGGACACCCCTACTGGGAATAACAGGTGAGTAGCATGAAGCTGATTGCATGAAGGCGGGGCTGTCGTGAAATGGTGATGGGAGGGGAAAAACACAGAGCACAAGCAGGCTGAGGCTATGAACTAGGGTTGTTAAAAATACGACTTGACTAAGAAAATAAAACGCTGAGGCTAAAGCTGTGGCATGAAATAAAACAAGGTTAGGATAACAGGGCTGACAAGGTGGATTCATAACAGAATGAGCATGACACAAACTTCCCGCTGAAGGGTACAGTCATGACTATATGCAAATTTCTGATGTTATCGAGGTCCTGAGATTCTGTCTACTGACAGATTAACAACAGCCTGAGTTTAGACTGTGCACATGTACTGTATATGGGTTTGTAAGGGGCACCAAAAATGTGGAYTAACTGYATAAAAAAATCAGAAAGCTTCAAGTTTAGAAATTGAAAGAATGTGATGCTCTTATGGAAAATATGAGAGTGAAATCACCAAGATCTTACAGAGGAAGGAAGTTCATTCTGACTGAACTGATGAGCTAACAGCTAGCCCAGATGGAGCCTAAACCATCTTAAAACAATTCCAATTTCAAAGATTTCATTGTGGTTCACAGTTGCAAGTAGTGGATTGGCTCCAGGAAGCACAGCAGCAGAAGAACACAACACAGACCTGTTCCTGTTGCTAATTAAGCTGCTGAAAAGAACTAAATGTTGTTGGCTTCTTTTTTTTTTCTTTTTTTTTTCTTTATTTTTTGTCATGACTGCAAAGTCATTATAACATGTTTAGCAGGTTATCCTTAAAGTGTCATATTTTGGAGAGGCACCAAATGTTCTGTGCTCRTGTCATCACAACCTCTCATCACGTTGTGATTATGTCTGCTGAGGGATGATGCCAGGCCTGTGGAGTAGAAGAAGCCCAGCGTTGCGATGCAGTTCATTAATGAACTCGATAGCAGGTGTGTGTGTGTGTGCTGCAGAAAAAAAAAACGAGTTTTGTTTGCTCGTTCATCACAAACTGAGAAACAAATTTATGTTCCCATCAGGATGTGTGTCAGTGTAAGAGTGTTTCTGGGAGACAGTTAAGGGGCTCAGCAGGTCTTACAGGGAGAAGCGATAAGTAGTTTAATACTTTGWTTTGTTTGATGCTGAAC